CCGTGATGTGACCGACACTGTAGATGTCAGCATCACCCGGAGCCCCTTCCTAGCTTGGCAACAGTCCTTTGCATGACCCAGGTTCTCCCCTGCAGACATCCTGGCCTTAGACTTGGCAAAGGAAGAGGGACATAAGGCAGCAGTCCATGCTCAGAGAGCATGCTGTGGGAATCACTCCATTTCTGGGCAGCCCAGCAGACTTGCTACCGCCCGGTTCTGAGCACCGCGGGAGCAGGGTAGCTGAAGAGCGGGTGGCAGTCCCAGCTCCTCTCCAACACTGGCTCTCAGCCAGGTGGCATTTTCCCCCTATGGGATGATTAACACTATCAGGAGACCTTTTAGACTGTCCAGACCAGGATTGGGGGTGCTAGTAGGATCTAGTAGTTCGAGACCAGCCGTGTTTCTAAACACCCCACACTGCACAGGCCAGCCCCCATAACAAAGCATCGTCCAGCCCCAATTGTCAGCAGTGCCAAGGCTGAGGACCCTTGCTCTCCAACAGTATCATCCATGGTTGGGCATTTCCTGCAGCTCCACCGCCGGGCGTGTCCCATGTAAACCAGGTTACTGGGTCCCTTTGGCAATTACATAATCTCCCAGCACCCTTTAGTAAATCCCTTCTGTTATACACGAGTTGGGGGGATTTTGTGGACCACCTCCAGGACTCCTAAGAAAGATGGCTATGGGGGCGATTGGACCAGAGGATGAAGAAGGATCTAACTTGTCCCTACAATTGCGGGCCGGGGGAGCATTCCAAGCACAAATCCCATGAAGGGCAGTGCCGTCCTATCAGGTAATGCATGCGTGGTCCCCGTGTAACATGGACATTATAATAAACAGATTCATCAACTAAATAACTCTCCGATCTGGGCAAATCTACATGTCTCGGTTCTCTTAAAATCACTAATGTTATGATACACATATTTCCACTCGACAGCAGCATTTTTCACTTTAACATATTTTCTGCCAAATTGTCTTGGAGCTCCCTATGGGTTAGAAACAGGGCAGAGCCACAGGAGTGAAAGGGAACAAGGAGCAACCTTCTTTCTGCCAGGTGGATTCCAATTTTGTGGCGACAATCTTAACTACAAAGTCAAAATGTATCCAAGAAATTGGCTTGAAGGAGAGCAAGTTCTATCCCAGAAAATGGGAAGAAATATTCAGAAGGAGACAATGAAATCCTGCTCCGATGCTGAGGCCAAGACCACAGGTGGTTCCAGGTCCTGGTCCTGTAATCGCTCATCTTTGTGAAAACTAAATGAGGACATCATTTAGGTATTTAGCACGGAGCCTCGGCGCGTTGTAAATGTTCAATAAACATTAACAGCAACATTAATAACAATAATGCATCTTGGGAACTACCTTGGCCCTCAGCTAACACATCCATAAAGGCAAGATAATAAACCTGTTTCGTAGGTTTGCGTATCTAGTACTCTAGAGAGCTCTTGGGCACCTCACGTGTGCCCCATAAATGTTAATTCTCTCTCTTCTTGTCTCCCACCCAGCCCTGACATCCCCAGTCCCTGGTATGTCTCCCAGTGGTGGACAACAGAACCGGGTGGAGAGGTCCCGCTCAGGACACCTGCCCACCACGAAGGCCTTACTTCCAGTTTTGCCCCCTACCTCCTGTGGAACCCAGCCCAGAACGTCTACCGGCCCCCCGACCTGCCTGACAGACTCTGTCCCCCAGTCTACTCCTGTCCTGCCATATTGACAAATTCGCAGCAAGCAGATTATACTCACAGTGTGAGGGAATCATTACCACCTGCTAATATTTTTATAGAATTTCATAAACTTGGTCATTCATGAATCATTTACAGTACTTTATTCCAATGAAGAGTTCACAAATCACTCAAATGCTGGCAAAATGCATAATAATGAGTAATATTTCAGGAGGCTTTGCATTAATAGGTCAGCTTCCAATACTGCAAGAGCTAAATTATTTTATCAGGTGCCACTTTGGGTCAGAAGCTTGGGAAGCCCTTTGGGGGCTGGGGTAGGGAGAGTGGGCGGGTGGCAGTGGGTCATGGACAAAGACGGTATTTAGGAAGACATCCATCATCCAGCCAATCACACCCCCTTTCCAGTCCCAGGAAGGGGAATTCCTGGCAAGGAAGGCTGGGGACCTGCGGGACAGGTATCTGATTGTAACTGAAGGTAAAACTGGAAGGGGTGTTTCTTAGCGGTTGGAAGCTCGGGGCTTTGGAGGTGGAGCGAAGTGGTTATGGACCCCAGATTCTACACACGCCAGCTGCGAGACCTTACAAAAGTTATTTCACAGTTATTTGCTTATCTGTAAAATGGTGTTAACATCTACCTCTTAAGTCTCCTGGGTGAAAGGAGTTAAATAAGAGAGCGTGTGAGAAGTGTTTAGCGCAGTATCAGCCCCGTAGTGTTCAATAAACAGTAGCTTTAATGATGATAAAAATTCGGGGGCCCAAGGACCAATTATCCTAGGTTATTTCTTATTGTGCAAATCCCCAAGGCTTAGTTTTGAATGCTTTCCTGTTGGGCTTGGGAAGTAGCAAGTAGCAGTTGACTTGCACGTGAGGAGGGCTTAACTTTGAAGTAAACAACACCAACAATGGAGCGATTATGATGGAAATCATTCGCCCACAGGCTCTCTGCTTCTCCGAGCTTGCCGCTTGCCAGAGGGGAGCTGGTTTGCCACCAACCACCATGAACACAATGGGTCTGACTGCTGCTAGGACAGTAGGTTCTTTCTAAATAGGTGCTTGGAATGGACAGGAGTTCCGACATCCCTGCGCCCAAAGAATATTAACTAGAGTGATCCAGTAAATCCAGAAACAGGAGAACCAGACAGAGGGTGATGGGGACATTCCCCAGCAAGGACAGGAAAGAAACGGGACAAAGACTAATGGAGGAGCAAGCCAGAGGAGAAACCAGACCCCTGAGGCTAGTGGAGAGTGGCTCTGGGCCAGGCTGCTGCTGGGCTGCGGTACCCCTGTGCTGTTGTAAGCTCTTGCGTTCCCACCAGGACCAGCATCTCTCTACTGGGCACGTGCAGCCCTGTGCATGGGGCGGGGAGGTATCCCAAGCCTTATGGTGAACAAGGCTCAGGGCCCCTGCAGATCACCCATGCAGCTTAAAGGAGTTTGTTGTGAAACAAAGCCTTGGCATTGAAACAAAAGCTACATGAAGGCTGGGAACCTGGTGTGTCTGGGTTTCCCACCCAATTCCCCTAACATCTTGGAGGGAGAGCTGCCTTCTGTAGGTTCTCAGCCAAATATATGTGGGAAAAAAAAATGAATAGATTAAGTAATCAAAACGCTATGAAACTATAACATAAACTCAAGATCACCCATGGAAAGCTTGTGCTTGATCTGGGCAGGCTGGGCTGCACCCTTCCTCGCCCGTGATTAATCTCTTGTTGCTGCGGTAAGATCGCAGAACGCTCACGATGTCTCTGGCATCATTCTAAAGGCTTGACATGTGTTAACTCCTTTCATCCATCAAAATCCTGTAAGATCAGTATTATTATCCTTTCCATTTTACAGATGAGAAGTTGAGACCGACCCCTTGCCCAAGTTTCCAAAGCTGATCTGTGACATTGTAAGGGCCTATTTTGCCAGAGCAGCCCCACCCCATTGAAAGGCCATTTTGTTGTAAAACTTAAATTGACCCCGCCCCCCCCCCCCCCAGGGGAACGTGCTTAAAAGCAAGTCCTGGAAACCAGCCCTAGGTAAAAAAAGCCCAAATACAAGGGTGGGTCAGGCCAGGGGGAGGTGTTCAATCAGTGGGGGCGTGTACTGTCTCCTAGCTACCAAGGAGTATGGGCCCCGCCCTTTGCGCACCTTTTGGGCACCAATTCTGACCAAGGTGATAGATAGGCTGGTTCAAATGTCTACTAGGGTAAATTGTAATTCAGTTGGCCATGTAGCATGACTGTGCAGCTTTCTCTGTGTGTTACAATTTCATTGGCCGCCTGTGTGTGGCCTGACCCAACCACTTGGCCTTTGCTCTATAAAAGCTAGTCTGTGAACCAGTGAAGGGTCATCCTCTCTGTAAGGGGCATCCCTGACCGGTCTGTTTGATGGTCGGTTTGATTCTTGATGCTTGGCGTGAAATAAAGCTTTGCTTGACTTTCGCTTTGCATCAGTCTCCGCTCCTTTAATCACGGACCCATTATTGGGGGACCCAATATTGGGGACCCAACAACATCATCCGAAAGTAGCAAATATGGCCATGTGCAAAATTATGTTTTTAACTGCTGTGACCCTATATGGCTTCATTTTAAGGAAAAAATATGAGAAGCTCCAAGTTGCAGACCAGGCTCTATTTTACTCACTGATGAACAACTCCAAGTTGGTCAAAGCTAGCAGTTTTAGCTTTGACAGTCTTTGGAGGCGCTAATGCTATTATTCTGTTTCCTGGGTGAAAATCGTAAGATCAGAGACGGTAAGTGCATTGCCCTAGATCACACAGCTCAGTATCTTGAACTTCTCCCATGTAACTAGACCTTCGAAAGTACTTGAAATGGTTGTACAGAACTTCCTTGAAAAATTGTGCCATAATTGAACCACTAGCCCATTGCTGAATATTTAGCAAAATTGGTTCCATTTTAAGGATCCTGTCTAGCTATAACAGCATCGCACAAAAATCTAAATTCCTCCCTATCTCCTTAAGATCGATATCTAAAAGTACAATCATCCCATCCACCTGGTATTCATAATTGCATGAGTTATTGGAAAGCCAAAGCTTGCCCTCACCGTTCTGACCTCCTCTGGGATCCCCCAAGTGTCCCCCTTTCTTGGGCTCCAGTCCCCAAGTCTCACAGAGGCCTGCAGTCTCTGTTGATGAGAAAGGGGCTCCCCTGTTACCCTGTTGGGGTTCAATGCCATTTGGCTCCCAGAGAGACATGCTCAAGCTGCACAGCGCCGGGTCTACTGAAGCACGGAAATAACGAGCTCAGTGGGAAGACAAAAGTCTTGGAAGAGCTCCACGTCCGCAGCGAGGGTGGGCACTTGAGGAACACTTACTTGGTAAGTAGCGATCGCTTCTCTGTCCAAGGTCCGTGTCACGGAGACGCTACCCGTGTTCTCATTGATTCTGAAAATTCCTTTAGGCTCTTGATCCACTCCCTTTCCAGTGAGCCGGAACCTGGACCCTTCCGGCCTGTCACTATCGACTACCTGGTCAGAGAAACAGAACAACAGTTAAGACTCTGGCTGGAAAACACAGAGAAAGCACGTTTTCACCACAATTCTGTGACCAGTCCCCTAACCACAGGTGCCAACACAGAGTGGCCGGATGAAATTAACTAAAACAGCATCACCGAAAATAGCATCATTGCTTAACCCCTTTCATCCTGACATGCAAATCTTTGCAGCTTACAGCTGGGGAAGCTTACCAGCATGGGGGAAGGGGGACAGACAGGTAGGAATAGATCTAGGAGGAAAATCACTCCAGGACATTCAAGACTGGACATTTTTATTGTTACTCTTAGAAAGATTTTTTTGTTGTTGTTGTTTTTTTCCTGCAAGCAAGACCAAATAGACAATGGGAAAAAAAACGAGTGGGCAATCTTGTAATGGAAGGGCAATGAGCCAAGTTCTAACTATTTACAAGACTCAGTCATCAACAATGCCAGCTGGACCACTGCTTCTGGGTAGAAGGCATGATGTTCAGGAAGCATCTTACACAAATTTACACAGTAAAAAAAAAAAAAAAAAGAAAAAGACAAATCCTCACAACCACGCTGGTGGTATAGGGACACTATCATTCGTACTTAATGGATGAGGCCACTGAAACATGGTGCGAGGAGGCCAGGGTCACAGTGACTGAAGACATGAAGACCCGAGTCAGAACCCACCCTCTATTTCTATAGGGACATTGCTATGCAACGTTGACACTTCTCCATTTAAGATGATACCCTACAGGTTGTCAGGCTTGATCTGACAATCTGAAGAGAATTCAGATGATAAGACGGAGGAAGATAGTTCCAGGCAGGGGGCACAGCACACACACAGGCAGCAGGCAGGCAAGAGAGCACCCACACAACTCCAGAAACTGGGAGTCATATAGCATGGTTTGAGTGAGGGGCAGGGGTAATGAGAAGCCAAACTATGGTGGTTTATTTTTTCCCCCCAAACTATGCTTTTTTTTTTTTTTTTTAAATATTGTTTGACGATTCCCAGCTAAAGAGAAAACCAGTATTTGCACGCATTGGTTCTAGAGTTTGCCCAAGGATTCGTGTATATGTAATGTCCCTTTATCCTCAATATCTGTGAACGTGAATTAGATGGTCACGATTTTTTCCCCCAATGGTAACAATTTAAAGGTCACGACCACAGTAGACATTCAGGAAGAGACCTAAGTGAAAGCTGATACTGATCCAGCTGTAACCAATTTGCAAATGACCAGGGATCTATTGGAAAGAGCACTGTCACCCGTGCCTGGAGGGTGTCCAGGCGACAGCACAGGAAATGGGCTGCCTTCTGGTGCAATCAGCCTTCTTCAGAGACCATTGCTGGGGTCGCCATGCCTGCAATTCCAGCGTCTGCCACGCGGTGGCAGTGGTGCATAAGGCAGCGTGACCCCCGCCCTGGTTCCTCTGCTGTGACCAGTTGCGTCAGAGCCCCACACAGCTCCATAGAGCAATGGTGTTTCTCTTTTTTTTTTCTCTCTCCTGATTTAAAATTTTACTTAAATACATTGAGAGTTTTGATTAAACACCAATTATCTCTGTTTGCATTTTTAAGATTAACATAAAATATCATCTAAAGCAAGACTAAAAATAAAGCATGTGGTATCCTCTGATGAAAAGAGTTTTTAATCACTGCTTGACTTGATTTAATCCAACTGGCATTCTCCCCATGAACCACTCCCTCCTGCTTGGGAGCTCCACGAGGTCATCAGCCTCAGCATATTGGGATCACCCCGGGATCCCAGCGCCTGGCTTAGGGCCTGGCATATAGCAGGAACCAGTCCCAATATCTGTTTACTATATAACACCACTGTTCAGACAAACAGAGGCCCTAGTGCTAGCTGGGCTGGTGGTCAGCTCTGGGACCTGCAGTATGGTTCTTTTCCTTCGTGGCTCTCCAATCCCTCATCTGTAAAATGAGGACATCACTACTCATGTCCCAGGGTTGTTGAGGTTTTAATGAGATAGTGTGTGCAAAGCGCACTTCTTGGCACACAGAAGGGGCTCAATGAATTGTAGCTAAGGATTGCCATCCTGAGAGTAATAATCACGAGAAAAATCACACCAGCATACCTTCATGGTCATTGGGTAATACTGAGACTTGGAGGCATAAAAAAGCATCTTAACCATAATATTAAAAACGAATCCTTTCTAAGAGAACAAATTTCCCTTTAAAACACAAGACCCACAGAAATCTCTGGTTTGAGAAGAGAAATGCTCTGGAAACAGGTTTACTGTGGGAAGGGGTCACTGACCCAAATCTGCCTTCTTTGTCGCCTGTTTACCGTCCCTTCCTCCCCGCTTTTACCACTTCAGTCCAACTGTGGTTAAAACCTCTTCTTGCTCCCCAGAGCACACATAAGGTAGGCAGTTTCTCTCCAAAGGCCATATTAAGTCAGGAGACAGTGTGATGGGAAACGAACGTGGGAAATCTACATGAGCTGTGGTGTTCCCACGAGTGGACTTCAGACCCATCTGTGGACAGACACAGCTCACCGGTGAAGACCTGTCCCCGGGGGGAAAGTCTTCCGTGCTTGGATCTCGGGTCAGGACCCTTCCCGGCTCAAAAAGGGCTGGGAGTAGAGCACCCCAGACTTTCTGGAAGGCACGCAGTGGGAGACGGTCCCGCAGGCTCTGCTGGGACAAACACAGCCACCCTCCCATTTCTCTGTTTGCCCCTGTAGCACTGAATTCTGGACCCAGAAATCCCCCCGGCACCACCTTTCCTCCTCCCACCAAAGTCAAGTCTGGGTCATTTCCTTGCTCTCAGAGAGCCTGAGCCATCCCACCCCACAGAAGCTTCATGCTGCGTGACTCCTCTCTCTCAGTATTTCCATTTGTAAAGGCTTGCCTTTGGACAGATCTACTGACTCTGCCTGCTGGTCCTCAGAACCGTGTCCACTTTGAAGGAGCGCCCACAGCCACACCAAGCATGGCACCCCCAGGCTAATGAGCATGAAGGGGCCACCAGCCCAGGGACGCGTCTCAAGATGTGGTCCCCTGGACCAGCATGGGCATCGCCCTGTTAGAAATGCAAATTCTCAGCCCCCCCACCCCCAGGGCTCCTGAATCAGGAACCCTGGGGATGGGGCCTGGCGATATGGGCTTTAACAAGCCCCCTACTAATTCTGATGCACACCCCCATCTGAGGACCGCTGATTTAGGCAGCTTTCGGCGCCTTCCACACTCCTTATAACTGGCACTGGCTTCCAGGGCTACTGTTGGGAGCTTTCTGTGGACAAGAGGCAGGGTCTGTTGGCTATTCCTCTGGAGATCTATTTTAAACTATGACACTACGGGGAGCTCTTTTAAAGACGTTTTCTGGAGTATCAGTAAAGCAGAGCTGCCACTTCCCCAAGACTGACATCCCCAACGCGTTCAAACACTCCAAGGTTTGGAGAAACCTCCGAGGGGAAACACGGGGTGCGGGCTGCGTTCCCTGGAAAAGCCAGGAGTCCTGGCTGGCTTTAGATGGGGCAATCGCCCTCCATGTCTCCGGCTTCTGGCTCCCTAGGTGGGCTTCAGAGGGACCCCAGCCCACCCCAGCCTCACTGATCTGGGGAGACGGCAGGTGTGCAATGGCCACAAACCCGAGGAGGCCCTCAGCCACGCATCAGAGCTCCCCTGTGCGGGTTTTATTTCCGGACAGCTTTATCCACAGTGGTCGACTCTGAAAATTACCCTGTGCTACTCCATGCTTCTGGCCCTGGGGGTGGGGTGGGTCCTTGTGTTGTCGTTGTTTAAGGTGATGGGACTTAAGAAATCCAGGGCAGCCTTCTAGTCAGAGCAAATCCTGCCGTGAGTCTCCACTCTCCACGCAGCTGTTAACGCCCATTATCCCAAGTGCGGCTATCACAATTAGCGGCTCTTTCCTATTGGTCTTTGTTAATTCGGCACTTATTTTCACAGTGGGAATTTTTTTCCCTCCTTACTTACTTATCCTCTGAGTTTGAATGGAAAAAAACAAAACATAACATAACAAACGATGAGAATGCACTCGGCCTGGATGCCAGCAGCCTGGCCGGGCATGTGAGGAAGCCCACAGGCATCTTGCTGCGTACCTGGGTCAAGGGACTTCCCGGGTGGCCATGGGGCGGCCAGCATGCCTGCTAACCGGGTGGCCTGGCACAGCTCGGACCCGGGTCCCCTGCACCCATGGAGGGGCAAGAAACACTGAGGCAGTGATTCCTTGATCTGAATTGCAAAGGACAGTCCTGCTGCATATTTCTTATAGACTAGCAGGCCCCCCTCCTCTGAATCCCCTAAGTCCCGTTCCTGCCTCTGTCCTCTGGTTGGGTGTAGTTTTAAGGTATTTTGCCATGAATTCATACGCATTCATAGAATATACAGCAGTTTTGAATGTTTTTACATGAGTAGGATCCTTCTGTTTAAGTTATCCTACAATTTTTTTTTTCTATTCAATGTGGCTGGGATACAATTTAAAAAAAAAGTTTACATGTAAACTTTTGGGGGGAATAATTTTACATTTACCTAAAAGTTGCACAGATGGAACAGAGTTCCCATTTACCTTTTATCCAATTCCCCCAAATGTTAATGTCTTCCCCAGCGTGGTCACAGCTGCGTGACACAGGTCTGGGAACTCACCAAGCTCTAGATGTGACGCATTCTGGTTTCTCCAGTTTTCCCACTACCATCCCTCTTCTGATCCAGAATCTAGTCCAGAACCCCACGTGACCTTCAGTCAGTTTGGTTTTTAATTGTTCACTCTGGTGTCTCTGTGTGGATCAGAGTTTTCCTTCATTGTACTGATAGCAGTGTTCTCCCCCATGGAAAATGTATTCCCTATACAAATAAGACATGGAAAATGTATTCCCTATACAAATAAGACAAGTCACCAAGACGTGCACACCACGTCTAACGAAGAGCTTCTGCCCCGACCTCCTGCGTCTATGCTTGAACTCAGATCTCTACTAGAGACTCCTGCCTGTTCCTAAGGGCCTAGAACTGTACGCAGGGGAGTGACAC